GAGTCCTGACAGTGGTGATCCCATGGGTGTGCCTCTGATTTGTTGGTATATTTGTCCATTATAGCCGGGTAATGAAATGTTTGCAAGAAAACAACCAAGCTCAGAGAACCTCAAGGACTCTACCATACAACAGTTCTGTCTGGTCTGAACACACTACTGTAGTTCTTACCTCATCAGCTTCAATTCTTATAGCTGCTGTCTGCAGTTTTAATTTTTTGAAACATATGTACTTTTTCTGACTTTTAACATTTTCATTAGATGAGCAAAAATGTTCTGGTCACAAACGGTTCTGATCTTAAAACAACTATTTCAAGTGATTCAGTCTCAGAATCAAGCACTCATGTTCACTAGGGTTTGTTCCAAGCTAGAGACAAAATACGGCCATTCTGAGCAGTGTTACAGTATTTCACTTTATATCTTTTCTGGGGAGCACACACTGGACTGAGTTGTTGGATGTGAATAATTGCAGTTTGAATATAAGCTTCCTTGGCAAATATATTTGGCTGGCTGCCCCCACATCTCATTTTAGTAACAGTGTATGCTTATAGTTGTTTTAGCTTAAAGCAGGTAAGAACTAACAGACTACACAGAATGGAGAGGAAAGAAGATGCCAACATTTCAAGAGTCTTCAGAGAGGCTTTGTCCCTGTCATTTGGGAACATCTGAAACTGTTGCTAATATGTGTTGTATTGCTGATTTTATGATGACATTTGTCACCTGCATTTAATTCTACTTCTAAATTCCACATCTAAGCAAACTAGGAAAATTCTGTATTACATTTCTTCTTGTAGACCATAATGATGATATCACTTTTAAGACTACCTTATCATTAGGAAATAGATAGTGAAACAAGACATGTATTATTCAACCTCACTAGAAACAAAGGATGTATCTAATTTTTAACATCTTTTCATACTACTCTATTTTATGACTGAGTACGATTTTTTTTACACTTTGCAACGTAGTGTTGAATGCAGTAATTACTTAAGCATTTAATGTTTTAGCACTTAAGCATTTTTTCTTCCTAATTTTAATCTGAGCTCTGTAAATTAACATAACTGCAAACTTTAATAAATAAGTGTGTAATAAATAAATTTGAAAATTAAATCAACATATCTCCATCTTCACAAAAATATCCTTTAAGGCATGCTTGCTTATTTACAGAAAATTGAGATTAATTTCTCACGTGAGGTGTACTATTTCTCATAGCACTGCTGCAGACATACATATATTAAAAGAGTCCTTTCATTTTAAATCAAGGCTTTCCTTTACAGCTTCCCCAATCACATATACCACTCCTGTTTAGGGCTACCTATCTACACATCCCATTTTCACCCCTAGTGATGGGCTCCAGTGCTGGCTGATTTAATCATATTAACAGTTCAGCATGTTTTCCATCACACTGGAACCATGCAATTGTTATCTCTTTCTATAAAAATAAAGGAAATAGACTAGATCTTGCCAACTACAGACTCTTAGCCTGCTTAATACAATAAGCTATATGTCCATTGGAGTTGGGCGGCTAATAAATTCAAATCAATCAAATCAATCGTCAAATATCTCTATCTAAAATTACTAGACTGGGTTGAAAGTGAAAATATTCTTGATGAGAAACAGGCTGGTTTTAGAAGGCATTGATAATCTCTGGACCACTGTCTAGTCCTTCACCATTTAGCTGAAAAATATTCCTCCCAACCCAAAGGTTCCCTCTTTTCAGCCTTTCATTTCAAATCAGCTTTTGATCTGATTCCAAGGGAGAGGCTGTGGGGAAAACTAAGGGGTTCCTCAACAGACAAAAGGCTGCTCCTTCTCATTCAGTCTTTCTACTCTTTTAAGAGTCAGATGCTGTCCCTGGGCACATTTTTCTGGAGCTGTTCTCACACAGAGAGGGCTGAGGCAGGGGTTTTAGCCCCTTTACATTTCAATTTATATATTAATTCAATAAACCAGGCCCTTTCAGTTCCTAATCATCACCAACCTGTATTAGGAGATAGAGTGGTTCCAACTCTTCTGTATGCAATCAAGTCTTCCAGACTGGAATGAGAAGGGCACTGAGGGCATTGGCCTCTTTTTGTCTTAAAGAAAAACTTGTAATCTTCAGAAAACTATAGTGCTAGTATTTGCATGAAATTAAATCCATAACTGGCAATGTTTTGCCTCTATATGTACTATTCATCTTTTGTTGACTGAAGAACTGTATTAACTTTTATCTTTTACTTTATATCTTTTTATTTCTATCTTTGTGTATCCATAGTATATATACACTTGTTTTCTTGCATTTTACTTGTGATTTATAGCAAAAATCATAAAGATTTGATTTGATTCCCTTTCTATCACTATCTAATAATTATCCCACTGCAAATCACTATGGCTAGAAAAGGCAGAGTAGCAACTAGAGGGGTGGTCAGAAGAAAATATTTCAACAGTTGCATGGAAGCTTGTTTTAGGAAAGTTCCTGCTCTTTCTGCAACAATAGGATGAGACTGAGGTAGGTCTCAATGTTGGAAGATAGGAATTTGGATATGATGGAACCAAAATAAAAAAGATGTCTGTAAAAGTGTTGGTGCAGTGCCACTTAGTAAAGACAAGTGTTGCAAGTTTACTGAATACTTCTGTCAGAGTATAAAGGAAAGAGGGTACTTGACCAGTAATAGCTTGAGCTCTACAAATGCATATGAACCCTGAAGATATCCTCAACTTAGTGGAACTTGGACTACCTACTGTTCAAAAATGGCTGTGTACAACAGGCAAAAGCACTCAGCTGTGATTCTTCTCCACCAGTGAAAGAGACTGCTGCCCAAAACTGTCTCTGAGCTCCAGCAGTTTTTTGTGATAAAATGTGGTCTGAAGAGGTTCAGACTGAAGAGCCAGGTTCTGTTCATTTTTTTCCCCTTAGAAATGGCCTAGGGCAATTCTAGAAGAATATGGCCTCCAAAAATGGCAGTCTTGACAGCCAGACTTCATGCTAAAATTCTGCACCAGCTGCAAATCCTGAATGGCAATCAAGCCTTTGTACTTGCTTGTAATCCAAGGGTGAAGTAGAGTATCAAAAGCAATGATGATCTACCCCAGTAGAGAAAATCCTGAGCTGGTCCACATAGAAATACTAAGAGAAGGGATAGAAATCTCCTGGCTGAAGAGCTGGTCCAGATAGAAATCCCAGGAGAAGGGAACTAGACCAAGAAGTGGACTTTGCAGTCCCAGCAACAACCAGCACCCTGATTCCAGCATAGGATTCACCATGATAGGCTGAAACATGCCAGTCCTCTCTTGAAATGGCATGCTTGGTACTTTGCCAAGAGAAGAGAGACAACAGGACTGAGGTTTGAGCTATTCTGAGCATTTTGGAAGGGCTTTGAGATAAAGAATCTATGGGGATCAGAAGGAGGTAAACTAAATGACTGATCATGAAGTTTCAGCCAATAAAGTCAACTATTAATTTAATTTGATTAACTGTTAATTCATGTAAGCTCTATGTATCCCCTATTTATTTGTATATACATTCAAATAGATATATGCTTCCATTCTAAAGGCATATAGATCTGTAAATAAACTTTGAGTGATTTATGTAATTCAGTTCATTGTTAATGAACATACTTTTATACAAGCTGTTTTAGTATCAGAGTATTCCATAAAATAGTCTCAGAGGAAAATTCTATAGGTAGTCCTTGACTTATGACCATAATTGGGACCAGAACTTCTGTCACTAAGCGATAAGGTTGTTAAGTGAGTCACGCCCAAATTTATGATCTTTTTTGCCACAGTTGTTAAGCAAATCACTGTAGTCATTAAGCAAATCACACAGTTGTTAAGCAAATCCAGCTTTCCCATTGACTTTGCTTGTCGGAACCCCCTGGAAAAGTCACAAATGGTGATCACATAACCCCGGAACACTGCAACTGTCATAAATACCTGCCGGTTACCAAGCACCTGAATTTTGATCATGTGACCGCAGGGATGCTGCAACAGTTGTAAGTGCGAGGACAGGTCATAAGTCCCTTTTTTCAGTGCCGTCATAACTTCAAATGGTCATTAAACAAATGGCCATAGTCAAGGACTACCTTATGTTTTATAAGCTCCCCAGCTGCAAGTATTTTTTTTTCGTCTCATTTCCGATTGGTAGAGTTGAAGCATGATGTAATTTTGTACAGAGCCACCCCAGTATAAACAGGAACAGAAATTCAGCTTGTTACAACTATTAGGGCTGTGCAGCAATCTAAATTCAAATTGGACATGGTGATTCAGAGGACACAGATGTATTTACACATTTGTCAGCTACTTCTTAAAAAAACTGGATGCATGCGGCTCTAAATCACATTTTTCCTTTCAAATCTAGATTGCTATGCTGCCCTAGCACTTATTACGCATACTAAAAAAATGCTAAAATTGTGCTTTTTTGTTCATTATAGGGATTTTTAAAGTATTTCCAAAAACAAATAATCTCCCCAGGCCAATTTTTATGATGGTTGAGTGGTAGGTAGCAGTCAGCATTTTCTACTTTTGTGAATTGGACAAACATCGGTGTAAGGATTTGTTCTGAGTACAGATGTAAATTTTCTGGAAGTCTGGAGCCCTGAATTTTGTTTGGAGATTGTTGGGCGTTTTTTGGTAAAAATCAAAAATTGGGGAACAAAATTAAAGCAGCACTGTATTCATTTTTATAGCAACTTTTATTACTTTAAGAAATTAAAATGTGTTATGTATTTTGTGGTTTACTCATGAAATTAATGTTTGGCACATTTATTAAAAACAGAAGTATAATTTAGTCAGACAACAATTATGTTCACAAATTAAATTTACCTGAAAATGTTCTTTTCCTTAAAAATGGAATGATGAGAAAATCCTGTCATCCCTTTATATTGTCAAAAAATTAAGTTGAAGGTAAAAGAAACCAACATGATAATAACACAAAGTTATATGTACTGGCCATAAACCTTTGCACATTTTTTTAAAAAGCTGAAGAAAACAGGAAAAAACAGATTCACTGCATATGTTTTGCCTTTAATACTCAGTTTCATTTTCTGAGCTATCACCACTATTAGCAATTTGCTTCTGATGAGAAGGGGACTGCATTTTTATTTCCTTGATAGACTTCAGATGTTGAAAACTGAAGATTTGGTCACACTGAGATTGCTACTTTTTCACATAGTGTCTGAACAAGAATTACAGCAATTTAATCCTGGAGATAAAAGTCTTCTTCCTGTTATAGGTTGGAAAATATCTGAGGGGAATAAAAGATAATAACATATAGGAGCTTGTCCCACTGTATAGATTATTTAAAATGAAAATATCATTGGATGTTTGTTTTTATTCTAATTTTTTCCTATTTTCCATATATAAACCATGGGGGGGGGGAAGGGGGGGTCCTCTCTCTTTTTTTTATAAGCCTTCACTTCTCCAGTTCTAAGTTCCCATTGTTTCTTACACGGCAGAAAAAGCTATAATAGTAGAGGTAGAAACAGGAATTAACATTGTCTCCTAAATGGGTTTGGATAAACCATCAGGCCATGGTTTAGGAAACTATAACAAAACAGGCTGTGGTTAAAGCACTCCTCCTTAGCCACAATTCATCCCCTAGTCTAGGTTCAGACAATTTCCTGGATCGGGAGGCTCTTCTCTCAGTCACTCATGCCATAGTCACCTCTGTATGGACTATTGCAATGCACTCTACATGGGGCTACCCTTGAAGAGTATTTGGAAGCTGCAGCTGGTGCAGAATGAGGCAGTGCGGGCAGTTATGGGCGCCTCTAGGACTGCACATGTAACAATGTGCAAGCTGCATTGGGTGCCAGTCTGCTTCCAGGTCCAATTCAAGGTGTTGGTTATGACCTTTAAAGCCCTTCATGGCATGGGCCCAGGTTACTTGAGGAACCTTCTTGTCCCCATTACACTGACCTGTCCCACCCAGTCCAGCAAGAAAGGTACGTTACGAACCCCGTCGCCTAGAGAGTTTTGACTGGCAGGGTCCAGGAGAAGAGCCTTTTCTGCCGTGGCCCCTGCCCTCTGGAATATCTTGCCCCCTGAGGTGAGATTGGCCCCCACTCTGTTGGCCTTC